CAAGACAAGACAAGGAAAAACAAAAAAAACTCAAAAATTTTGGGGACAAGGTAGGCTCTTGATCCATGTATCGACCCGAATGTCTAGAAATTATTAGTTTTTTGAAGAATAATCGAATTCCCAGAGGCTCCCATCTAGTTTCAACAAAGCCCGAGCTCTCCCCTATCTAGAAATTGGGTAAAATTTCTTGACGAAATCACTTTCATCGCACTCGGGTAAGGTCTGTGTTATGTTTATGTACTATGGTTTGAACCAGATTATAAAATTGAACCTTTATCTACCTTTCCTCATTAGCTTCATTGTTCTAGATCTATTTACATGTTTTTGAGCTGCTGAAAAACTAATTATCTTGTTTGTTGCTTACGTGGTTAACTTCTTAAGTCGGGAATGTGGTCAATTTTGTTTGGTTTTCTGTTCTTTCACTATAATTTAATGTGATGTGACTTAGGCATTTTGATTGGTTTAAAAGGCCATACTTACATTATGTATTTGTTGTGTTAGATTATAATGGACAAAAGTTGGATGCATGTCCCAAGATCGAGCAAAACATTTACTGAAGGGGTGTCAACCTTTATCAAATTTACTTTGGAAAATTCATCTATCAATGGAACAATATATTGTCCATGTCGAAGATGTTTTAATAGGTTTTCACATGACGCTGAAATTGTTCGTGAGCATTTGGTATGGTATGGGTTCCAAGAAGGTTACACTTGCTGGGTGTTCCACGGTGAAAATATTTTTTCACCTACAGACCAATGTCGCTCAGATGAGCCAATCGTGAGAAGTGTTGAAAATAGTTTAGATGGAGAATATAACATGAGGGGGCTCTTCCAAGATGCTTGGGAACTTGCTGCTGAACATAACCTAGAAGATGAGTCTAGATTTGCTTCAACAAACATGGAATCAACAATAGAAAATAGAAATTTGGATGATGAGTCACGGCCTAATCGTGGAGGTACCAATGTAAATAATGCAAGAAGTAGGCATGAAAATTTAGAGAAAGAAAGAGATGCAGAACTTTATCCAGGTTGTTCGAAGTTCTCAAAAGTATCATTTTTATTGCGATTATTTCATCTCAAATGTCTATACGGTTGGTCAGCAAAGTCTTTCACTATGCTTCTAGAGTTATTAGAGGATGCATTTCCTGATGGTGTTTCGTTGACGTCATCTTATTATGAAGCAAAAAAAGTTATTCGGGAGTTAGGACTTGGATATAAGAAAATTGATTGTTGTCCGAATGATTGTATGTTGTATTGGGGGGACAATTTGAATTGTGAAACTTGTAATGTGTGCTCAACGTCAAGGTGGATAGAGAAAAATGATGGTGACCATGCAGTAAACCTTGATGAAGGCAAGCAAAGAAAGAAAAAAGCAGCTAAAGTCTTACGGTACTTTCCTTTAATACCAAGACTCAAACGACTTTACATGTCATCTAAAACTGCATCATCAATGAGGTGGCACACAGAAGGGCGTACAAAAGATGGAAAACTGAGGCATCCGGCAGAATGGTAAAGCGTGGAAAGATTTTGATGCTAAGTTCCCAGAATTCGCATATGATCCTCGTAGTGTGAGACTAGCTCTTGCTAGTGATGGATTTAACCCATTTCGAACAATGAGCACGACTTACAGCACCTGGCCAGTTATATTGATTCCATACAACGTAGAGCCTTGGGTTTGTATGAAAAGATCTTCTTTGATATTGTCCATGGTGATCCCCGGAGAAAAAGGACCTGGAAATGACATAGACGTTTTCTTGCAACCATTAATTGATGAGTTGAAGCGTTGATGGGATGGGGTGGACGCGTTTGATGCATCAAGCGGTTGCAACTTCAAATTACGAGCAGCTCTAATGTGCACAATTAATGACTTTCCAGCTTATGCTAATTTATCGGGTTGAAGTGTTGGTTTATTTTTATATTATCAACCTTAATGTGGAATTGAAGGATAAAAAAGGCATTTATTCCTTCTTTATCTGTTGCCAAAAAAAAAAAAAGAAAAATTATATGCATTATAATAAAGCAAATAGAGGGTTTTCACTCTCCTGCTAGTTATCAAGATTAAAGAATTCTAAACTATTTATTATTTAATTCATGATTGAATAAGGTAGTCTTTGCTTGATTTTTTCCATCTTGACAAAAAGAAAAAAAGAGTTTTTTGTATTCAAATAGCAACAAGTAACAAGTTTTCAAAGTTAGATTACATACTTTTCTTATCGTTAAGTAAGTCCTCCATGCCAAGTGCATATTCATAATACACCAGTTCACTAGGTGGTGTATACAGAGTGATCATGATATTAGGATATAAGTTCTTAATAGGTAATGGTAGCTTAGCATTTAATCCTTAACAATAATGATACTTGCACATCTACTCATTAATATGTCATGCACATGCTAAAATTAGTTATTAATTGCCCAAAATAATGACTTTAATTTTGTTAACAGATTAATATTTTTTCTTCAAAATATGTCCCTTGATCCATGTACATAACTTTGTTCTTTTTGTATAATCACTACGAGCATCTCTGCTGTACAGTGGACCTTTAATGACTTTCCCTCTTATGTTAATTTATAAGGTTGGAGCACCAAAGGTCGTGTTGCTTGTCCATCTTGCGGGGTTTCGACTCATTCTTTATGGCTAACTCATGGGAAGAAATTCTGCTACATGGCACATCGTAGGTGGTTAGATCCAAATCACCATTTCGCTATCAAAAAGATGAATTTGATGGCACTGAAGAGTTGCAATCTCCTCCAGTATTAATTTCTGGGAGTGAAGTATTGAGGCAGTTGCACGAGATGAAATTTGTGTATGGAAAATCTAAAAAAACAAGCAAAAGATCAAGGGAGACGATGGATAGACCTATTGGGCTTGCTAGTACCGAGGAAACTGATAATGGAAGAGGGGGGGAATATGAAGTTGTTGACGATTACATTGGAGAAGGTGATGGTTTTGCATCGACAACTACTGAACAAGGAAGACAGAGTGAGGCACAATGCGTCTGGAAAAAAAGAAGTATTTTCTTTGAGTTACCATATTGGGAGTTTAATGCTTTGCGTCATAATTTAGATGTGATGCATATAGAAAAAAATGTTTGTGATAATATCCTCAATACATTGTTGAATGTTGAAGGTAAGAGCAAAGACAATCTAAATGCCCGTCTTGATTTGATTCGGCTAGGTATAAGACATGAGCTTCATCCTATCTTAGGTGCTAATAACAAGTATCGTCTCCCCCAAGCATGTTACACTATGACGGCAAAAGAGAAAGAGTTATTCCTAACTGTGCTAAAACATTTGAAGGTTCCTGATGGTTATTCATCGAATATATCAAGATGTGTAAATCTGAATGATAGAAGACTATCTAACCTTAAAAGCCATGATTCTCATATTTTGATGCAAGATATTCTCCCGATTGCTTTACGAGCTTCGGTGCCGCCTTACTTGACAGCTATTATCTCAGAATTGTCACCATTCTTTAAATCATTGTGTTCGAAAACACTTGATATTGAGGAGCTTGCGGAGTTACAAAAGAAAGTGGTTGTTACGTTATGTCGTCTAGAGAAGATATTTCCTCATTCTTTTTTCACAATCATGGTTCATTTGATTGTACATTTATCTGAAGAGGCCATTTTGGGTGGTCCAGTACAATATAGGTGGATGTATCCTATTGAGGGGTAAGATCTGTTATATTTATTCTTATGTCTGAGATACAATATAATCTCATTTACTTTATGATAATTATTCATGATTTCTAATCATATATTTGTCATTTTTTTTAGGGAATTGATGATTTTGAAGTCACTTGTACGAAATAAGGCCCAACCAGAAGGTTCCATTGCAGAAGGTTATATTGCGAATGAATGTTTAACCTTTTGTTCTCGATATCTTCAAGACGTTGAAACGACATTCACTCGGCCTCAAAGAAACTGTGATCGTGTGAACAATGAAGAGATTTACCTTTTCTCAAGCACCGGAAGAATACTAGGGAAAGCAGAAAGTGTGACTCTAGATGACATGTCTTTGGCCCAAGCCCATCGATATGTGCTACTTCATTATGATCTATTGTCCAATTACCGAAGGTAAATTAGTTTAATAGTAATATATTATTTGCTTCTTAGTTTTTATAACTATGTAATTTAATTCTTTGTAATTTGAGTGAATTTTTAGCAGGACAAAAGAGAGCTTATCGTCCACTTCGAGCTACATAGATTATTCAACAAAAATGGATTAATGAAAAGTTTTCAGAATGGCTTTTAGCCCAAGTAAGTATTCAAAAGGCATAAATAGTGTAGTTCAGAAAATAATTTATTCAAGTACCTAATATTTTTTTAATCTGTAGGTGCCTACAATGATGAAGTCTGGCTGTTCGGACGAGTTAGTAGCTATTGCTAGGGGTCCGAACAGCATTGCAAGGTGATTTAGTGGTTTCATTATAAATGGGTTTAGATACCATACAAAGAGTCGTGACCAGTTGAGAAAGACTCAGAATAGTGGAGTAGTCGTGGAAGTGGATGGAAAACCTTATTATGGTGTCCTTAATAATATCATTGAATTAGATTACTTTAGATCTTTTAAAATTTTTTTTGTTTAAGTGTGAATGGGCTGATGTTAATTCAACTAGGGGTTTAAAAACGGATGACAATGGGTGCACATTAGTGAATTTCTCGAGGTTAATACATACGGGGAGCTCCTTGAAAGATGACCCGTTCGTGTTTTCATCCCAGGTGAAACAAGTCTTCTATGTGAAAGATCCAAAAAACAATAGTTGGTCTCATGTGATTCGCACAAAGCCGCGAGATTTGTATGATATGGGAAAGAGAGCACAAGACAATGAGGATGATGATGTGTACACGGAATGCGTACCTCAAAATGTGAATGCGGCAAATATCAATGATGATCGAACCTATTGGGCAAGAGTGGATGAGGAGGAACCATCTGAGAACCAATAGATTTTTTATTACAGGTATTTCTCTATGTCCTTAGTTTATTACGTTAGTTACCTTTACAACTATTTACTTTTCGTAATATTTTATTGGCATATCCATTGTTATTTGGAATTTGGCATGAGATATGTTGAGACAAATGTGGGGTTTCAGTTTTTACTAAATCACCTTCTCATAAATCACCATCTCACAATTCTGTTTGTTTTGTATTTTTAATAAGAAAATTTTTAAAAGTTCTAAAAGAGGAATCTGAAGCTTATATGGTACACCTGTGCATGAGTGTGAGTTGCGATTTGAACTTTTTTCAAAACAAACCAAAACAACAAAATAGATACCTTCTTGTTTTGTTGGGATACATTTTACGTTCTATACACATGACCTATTTTCTAGTAATATTTCCAAGCTTTTTATTTGGGGCGTGTTTTGTTGAAATGGGGATATGCAATTGCAGGTGCTTCGGGTTCGTTCCCGACAGAGATCACCGTACGGGCCACCAGTGGAATCCAACGACTCACCATTTAAATCAGACGGTTATTGCTTGAAATCAAATCCTGTTTCCAGGATCAAGGACGACAAGAGGGCCGACAAGTGGACCATCAAGGTCGAGTTATATAGGGTGAATAATGGTGTGCTGTTTGTGTTTTTGTTATGCAGACTTTATATTTTTGTTAAGAACTTGTGTTTGGATATTAAATGGTTTGTTTTGAATTTTGATGAGGTTTATGTTTAACATTGAAATTGTACGAGTAATTTATGAACTTGTGGTTTGTAGTGTTATGAACTTGTGTTTGGATGTTAAATGGTTTGTTTTGTATTTTTATGATACCTTTGTGTTTGTTTCATGTGTTCCCTTGCTTGATTGCTGATCTTGGGTACCTTGTACAGCTGAAGGTGTTT